AAATATATTTGTAATAACGAATGAGGACAAGAAAAGGTGCTAGCTGGGGGTGAGGGCTACGTCTGACCAAGGAAAACACCCACTCTCCCTGGCAAGTGAGACCTTCTACTTGTGTAGTTCACAAGTACATTACAAATAATGAATTAAGTTATCCTACAGCTTCTGAAGAGCAAACTCTTTTATCTGCTTGGTTTGTATTTATATCAGCTGTGCAGAGATCTTGGGTGTTTCTACTGATCAATGCCGGTCCTCCACACTAGATATAAAACCCCAATGCCGGGCTTCCCTGGTGGCGCAGTGGTTGAGAGTCCGCCTGCCGATGCAGGGGACATGGGTTCGTGTCCCGGTCTGGGAAGATCCCACGTGCCGTGGAGCGCCTGGGCACGAGAGCCATGGCCGCTGAGCCTGCGCGTCCGGAGCCTGTGCTCCGCAGCGGGAGAGGCCACAACAGTGAGAGGCCCGTGTACCATAAAAAAACAAACAAAAAAAAAACCCCAAAAACCCAACAAAACAAAACAAAACCCCAATGCCATTTCCAAATAGGAACAATGAAACAAATGAAAGTGTTTTGCTTTGAAGTCCACTGGAATCGGTCCACGTCGGGGACAGTCTCTGAACACCGCCTCATCTCTAAGGCCCTACATGAGTCATGAATCCAGGGGAAGGAGGGCATGGACACCCATCCTTGTCCCTGTTGTCCTGGAGGACCACAGGAAGGACACTTTTTTTTTTTTTTTTTGTGGTACGCGGGCCTCTCACTGCTGGGGCCTCTCCCGTTGCGGAGCACAGGCTCCGGACGCGCAGGCCCAGCGGCTATGGCTCACGGGCCCAGCCGCTCCGTGGCATGTGGGATCTTCCCGGACTGGGGCACAAACCCCTGTCCCCTGCATCGGCAGGCAGACTCTCAACCACTGCGCCACCAGGGAAGCCCAGGAAGGACATTTTTAAAAGGAAATTAACTTAATTGGCTCTAAAAGAACTAATAAAGTCTCATTCTAAAAATAACATAATTTATTACTTCAATCCACCATAAAAAAGTTTGTTAGTTTTCAATAATCTCAGGAAGAAAACCTTAGCATTTCTGTTACTCGTTTTGTTTTAAGTAGGATGCTACGGGGGAGAAAAGGACAGCAGTGAAGATCGTTAAAGGGGTTTGAAAATAATGGTGCAGTGCTGGTCTTCATGTTACTGAGGTCTGAGAAGCAAAACGTTTTCTTCATATTCTGGATGTATAAGTCTTTTTTTTTCCCCCTGGATGTATAATTCTTCAGAATGACATTTTCACGGAAAATCTGCTAGCTTATGTGACTTCCTTTATGCTACATAGGAGAATACAAAGCAGGTAATCATGCTCAATTGACGGTCATGCTAACACAGAATTACCTCACTGTGGGAGCCGTGATGCCGCCAATAAAGAGAATTCTACACCAACTTAACGGATGACTGGCTTGGAACACAAAGATATGTTTCAGGAAGAAGGTATTCAACTCAGTCAGCTGCAAAAGAAGGAGGCGAGAGTCAACCTGGTGCTTCGTGCTAAGTCATGAACATCTACTCCTTCAATGGACGTTCTACAGCTAAAAATAACTGGTATGTTCAAAGCATTTCCAGAAGACATACCGCGTCTCTAAGGGTTGCTGCTTAAGCCCGGTAACAACCAGTACAACACAGGTACCAACCAAGCAGGGGTGCAGGGGAGGTGCTGGGTGTTGAGAGGGGCACAGGGGGCATCAGCCATCTGTTGTGTTTCCAGATTCACGTGACTGTCACCTGGCTCACGTGTGTGAGCTGCTGGGACAGTCGGGAGAGAGATGCTTTAAGAGCGAAAGGATGACAACGAATCTGTACCGTGGAACACCTCCGCAGCCCGGCAGAAATTAGGCCAGGTTGAGAAGTCTGACAGCAGGAAAGTAGGCTCTTCAATAACCAAAAGAAGCTTGAGGCGCGTGTGCGTGACTGAGAGATGACTGTGGACTCGGTCAGCTCGTGCCAGGGACCGAGCAGATCCTCAACCGAAGGCAGCTCTTAAAAGTGGGTGTGGGGTTGGTCCAGGCTTCACCTGGCAGTGGGACTGCTCCCTGAGGGTAGCGCCCAGTACCGCTCATCCCATGACCAGTCCTGGCAGCACAAAAGAGATGCCCACCGGGAAATCTGTGCTCAACGCCCAGAGGCCACTGCATTTCCCCTCCAGATTAAGCAAGGTGCAGAGATTAGGAAAGGTCACTGCTTTAAGAGCACATCACGTGGACCAGCAGGTTCATTTCAGTGACATAAAATGTGCGCCTTTCCCCACAGTGCTGAGTTTAAGGATATAAAATAAAAACGGTTCACTCATCACCACATAAGGAAAGCTGATCACTGCACCGTGCTCACCATCAAGGGGAAAGTGGGCCCAGTGGAATTCTGCTGTTCTAGGAGCACATCCCGCTCTCTCTCCTGGGCAAATCCAAATTCCTCCTAGGTCCTCGTAATAAAAGAAATGCCTTCCCTGGCATTGCCCCATAAGGTAAAACTTAATCACACTCCATTTACCTACACACTGACTTCCCCAAACCATGGTGACTATATAACTATTCACGAACACTTCTGTAGCCATAAACTCCATTTCTTGACATGGGCATTATTCTTCTCCCTCTGTGGACAAGGACAGTCTATCTTTAAAGTGACACATACCCATTTTCTCCTTATGTTGGGAGTATTTTGTGCATATGTGTTCAAAACATGTCTGATGATTCTGAAAGACCCTTCCGGTGAAAGCTGGTTTCCCTCAGCTAGTCTCCCAAAGTTGTGAAACAATTAACCTGGGACAGGAGGGACAATAAAAAAAGGCTGCCTCTGGAAAACAGAGTCGTTGGGTAATCCCTTTCCAAGACCCCTGGCTGTCTGAATCGCTTCAGTCTGCTTGGAGCGAGAGCCTCTCTCCACCGCCGACACCACTCTGGAGGGCCCAGGTCCCCAAAGGGCTCCAGTCCCCACAGGTAGCAGAGGGCTTCTGTATTTAGCGTTCTACAAATCACCCAAAGTGGTAACAGCTGAGGCACAATTTTAAAACTCAAATACTGAATTTGGACTGTAAGAAAAAGCCTTACGTTTGTTGCTGTGGTCCTGAAAACGATCATTTGAGAAGGTCATCCAATGCCTAACTCACTGGGTGATAGATGCTGAGCACAAGGTCTTTACAGGGAATTTTAATCTGTTTCCAATTTGTAATTCAAAGATCCATATTTTAAAACGTCTTCACGATGAAGCAAGACCTTAGGCGTAACAGCATCACTTTAATTCTATATGTCAGCTGCAGAATATTACATCTTCTAAAGCATCAAGCTGATAAGTAATGTCAACTAGCATGAACCCTAAATTCCCGGATGGTTTTTATTTTGTTTTCCCCTACTTCTGAGCATTTGAAGAGATACCTGCCAGATGATCATGAAAAGGTATATTCCAGCCACTCTCTGAAATGAAGATTTGGGGTCAAACCACCGAACATAGGTCCAGCTAGCAGGAGTGAACTGGAGCACGGCTCTTTTGATTTTCCCGGTGGTGGTGTGGATGTCCCTGTGAGAAGAAAACAGCTCCGGTGAAAATCCAGAGAGATAGGAGGGGGAAGAAACAAAAAACCAAAAAACTGTGAAAAATGCATTGACTATTTTACAACCAATGCTCAGAACGGAAAGATTCCTTTCTATTTGAACGTCTCTCCAACAGCGGCCTCTATTCACAGGTGATGTGCTGAGAGCAGCAGGCCAGGTGGGGAGCACCAGTGCACTGGCCACGCCAGCACAGGCCACAGTTTGTGAACTGGTGACAAAAGAAGCTGAGGTACATGACAGACAGCCACCTGGAACTAGGCCAGGAAGGACACCACTCCCACCCATGCCCCCGCCCCCAGGGTGCCCTGATAAAACAGAGAACAAGCTCCACGTGTGAGGGGACCCACAGCATTTCCTCACTCTATACCTTCCTCAATTAAGTGAACGGTTTGGAGTGACAGTGGTTTTTAATCTTTCTTGGTTTCAATCCTAGAAATCACTCAACTTCATATTCCTGTGATAGAAACAAAGAGTCCCACGTTTCACAAATGACGACATTGGGGCTCCGAGAAAGGGAATGGCTGACTCCGGCTCTCTTTGTAAACCTCAGAGTTGGGGGTAGATTCTGGTCCTCTTGTGCTAGACCAGGAGAGCCGAAATCCAAGGTCATACGATATAATAAATGGTAAAGATCTTTTAAATTCAACAGAGATGTATAGCGAGGACCTTTAGGTCGTAGACACCGTTTTAAAGTGCTGACGGCATAAGGATAAACAGGCCAGGCCTTTTGTTCTTGGGGAGGGAGAAGGGGGTTGGGAAGGGGGAGTAGAAGGAAACCAGGTTTGTTCCTTCACTCACTCACCCACCCATCAACAAGCATGCAGTGAGAAAATCTCCCAGCAAGAAGATTTGAGGCAAAAGGGCAACAAAGAAACAGAGACTATCCAAAAATAAACAAGAATGATGAAGAACCTGTATATAAAAAATGGTGAGGGCTTCCCTGGTAGCGCAGTGGTTGAGAGTCTGCCTGCTGATGCAGGGGACCGGGTTCGTGCCCCGGTCCGGGAGGATCCCACATGCCGCGGAGCGGCTGGGCCCGTGAGCCATGGCCGCTGAGCCTGCGTGTCCGGAGCCTGTGCTCCGCAACGGGAGACAACAAAAAAGGGGAAGGCCCACATACAAAAAAAAAAAAAAAAAAAAAAAAAAAAAAAATGGTGAAACTTCACGGAAAGAGGTAGAGGAAGATGGGAATAAACAGAGATACAGCGTGATGGAGAACTGGAATACTTAATGTAGTGAAAAGGTTAATCCAACCTGATCTATATACATTCATATGTTTAATGTAACTTAAGACCAACAGGACTTTTTTGTTCATTAGTTGCGCTTACATCTTGGGAACTTGACAGGATGATTCTCAAGTTGAATTTGAAGCATAAATGTATGAAAATAGGGAAGCATTATGGAGTGTTTAAGGACCCAGACGGCCTGATGTAATTTCAGACTCTACTGCTTGCTTGCTGGGTATCCTCAGGCAAATTACTACACTGAAGCCTCAGTACCTTCAACCCTAACGTGAAGAGAATGGCAGCGTCTATCCCTAGGATTGATGTAAGGCTCAAATGAGATACTGCGTATGAAGCTTGCCTGGAGCAACACCCAGCACTGCGACAGATTTTGTTACAGTATATACTGTATGAAATATATTAAAAAGTGTCCTTTCAAGTCAGTGGCCAAAGAAAGGATTATTCATGAAAGGGACAGGGAAAACCGGTTAATCAAACACAATAACGTTGCGAAATCTCCCCCTTACACCACATAACAAAATAAATTTGAGACAGAATGAATAAGTGACTTATAATTGCCAAGCCTATGGACTTTGTCCTAAGGCCCATGAGAAGCCACCACAGGGAAATGACATGACGGATGTGATGTTCCTAAGATCATTCAAGCAATGGCGGCAGAAGCCTTAGAGGGGTTAACCTGGGGACAAGGGACTAATCAATCCAGCCGTGGGAGTCTGAATTCAGGCTGAGGCATATGGATAAAAAGGAGGGGATGGATTTGAAAACTCGAAAATGATTTAGCCTTTTCTGGATCAACGCCTGAAACTGGGCTTATAATCATTTTTGAGTTCCAGTTACTAATGCATAATTTATTCCTTATCATCAGAGAACGTACTCATGTTGCGTGCTACTGAGGCAGTTATATCTACATTGTGAGAAACCGTGACTCAGGGCCCGGAGGAAGATGACTCACTTGAAGCTTGCCCAGTGGTAAGTCCTCATCTCTAAAAACCTGCAGACGACCATGCCCAGCCAGATACCACCACCGTTGCACAGCAGGATGTCCAGGATGACTTGGTCCCACCAGCACTCGGCAAAATTGGGCAGAAGATGCATGAAGAAAAGCTGAGAAACACAAGCGATGATGAAAAAACAAACGTGAAAAAAACAAACCTGGGGTACCACGCAGAAAGGTAACTTTCCTTTTAATAGTACATTCTCTTAGCAAAACTTGCTGATGTTTTAGGTTTTCCTGCTGTATTAAAAAAAAAAAACAACCAAGGTCTGTAATCAGATTCTTGTTTATTTTGTGGATGGTTCGCAAATACTGCTAATCCAAACAGCTCCTCTTTTTTTGGACACAGGGCTTTAAAGAAATGATAACCCATCTTGAACAATACTACCAGTAAATTACCTTGGCTAATGACAACATGACACGGACCCAGAAGAGAGAAGAGAGCAAAGTGTTCCTAACTGTCTACAGAGCACTGGCAGAATCCTCAAAATTAGCAGCTTGAGAATTTAAGCTGTGTATTTTAGAAACGGTCTATAGATATCTGAGAAAAACAGTAAGTAAGTGGTAAATTAGCTTAATAGGAAATCCCACACTAACTGATTTGCAGCGATAATCTTTTATTAAGTGCCTACGATGTACAAGGTGGTGAGATAAAATGGATCAAGGTTCTTGATCTTAAGGGCAGAGGCCAGACGCTTATTCAGAACACAAAATCAGGTATGCTGTGGCAAGTGTTACAATGGTGACATAAATTGGGACACTGAGAGATTCATTTGGATAGACGGCAATGGCGGTAGACTTCTGGAAGGAAGACAGGGTGGAGTGGGATCATTAAGGACAGGAATGAGTGATTTCAAGAGATGGAGATGAAGTGAGGACATTCCAAAAAAAGGGCGCAGTGAGATCAAGGGTGGAACAGAAGTCTTTTACGGAAATAGTTTTGTCCAAAACAAAGGACCCGTCGGCTGTATCAAGCAGCATGGGGTGCTGTGGGAAGGCCCGCTTTAAGGAGGTCTGAAATTACAAAGACAACGCCTGACAGTTCTCTGGAAAGGGGCAACCCCATGATTATAAACCTCTGAAGTAATATAATAAATGCTACAAGTTAAAACTATTCATGAAAGCGTCACATAGATTGTAAAAGAATACAAATATTGTACGAGGAGTTTGCCTTCCTGATGTGCCTGCTTCCGAGGAGATACTGAACAGCTGCCGCATGTGACAGCGAGGGGCTGTGTGCTGGCCCCCAGCGATCCACGTACCACCCGGGACTGCATTCCCAGGTCCAAGCCGTGACATGGAGCATTAACTCACACGGGGCAGAGAGAAACTTCTGCAGAAGCCAACGACAGATGTGCTGAAATAATACTGGTTAGGGGATGTGGAGGACGTACGTCCGCCCGAGGAGCCTTTCTGGAAAGTACCGGATTCGGGGGTGAGACAGCCCAGGCAGAGCGGAGTCAGAGACCTGGAAGGAGCCACATTTGTTCACTCCCTGGGGATTCGGGAGCGTGTGCCTGTATGTGTGAGGCAGAGTGCTGGGGTCTGGGACTGGGCAGACACGGGCCCTGTCCTCTTGAGGCATAACGTTTAGCAGCAAAGAAAACATCTATCAAGTATTTAACCTATGCTGAGTGTTTCAGAGGAGAAGAGCCAGGTGCTCTATTTCCAGGTGTACAAACATGAGCCCAGCCAGTGCAGGGAGCAGGGCAGAGAGGGAGGAACTCAGAGGCAGGCTCCGTGGGAGGAAAGGACACAGCATCTTTGAAGTGAAGAATGCAAAGCTGGCTGGAGCAGAGGGCAGGTGAGAGGGTTCAAGGAGGCTGGGGAGGTGGGCTGGGCCAGCGAACACCAGGCCTCAGAGGCTGGTTCAGAAGCCACCTGGATTTTGTCTTAAGAGCAACGGACCAACAGGGAAGAGTTTTCAATAGAAGGAGGTGATCGGGCTGAGGGGTGAAAGGTTCACTTTGGCAAAAGATAGTGTGCAGGGAGGAGATGGGAAATTCAGATGAGAGGGGAGAGTGCAGCAGAGGGATGAACTGGAGAGGTGTTGAGAAAAGAGCCACCAGGAAAAGGGAGGCGCAAGAGGCCCAGTGGGCGGGGGTGGGGGGGCAGGGGAGGAAGAAAGGGAGGCTGAGGAAGGCCAAGTGCCCTGCACAGGTCTCATGGCGGTGAGGTCCTGAAGATGCCTGCAAGTTAGAGGGAGCCCGTGGTACGAGGGCAGGAGCACGGGCTGTGTTCCCCGTCAAGCACCCCTGGATCCACTCCTGGCTCTGAGCTCTGGTTCCCATCGGTACACTGGGAATACATACTGCCCTTCTGGGTTATGGTGAAGATTCAGGATGATGTATGAGCAGTGCTGGGCACTGTTATGGGTTGAATTGTTCTCCCTCAAAAATCCATACGATGGAAGTCGTAAGCTCCAGGACCTTATAATGTGAGCTTATTTGCAAATGCAGTCACTGCAGATGTAATAGTTGAGAAGGGGTCGTTACTGGAGGAAGTCGGTCCCTAATCCAACATGACTGGTGTCCTTATGAAAAGAATGCCATGTGAACGCATGCAGGGAGAAGGCCACGTGAAGATGGAGGCGGAGACTATGGTGATCTACAAGCCAAGGAACACCAAAGATGACCAGCAAACCATGAGCAGAGGCCTAAGAGAGGCTTGGGACAGGTTCTGAAGGAACCAACCCTGCCCACACCCTGAACTAGGGCTTCTAGCCTCGGGGCCATGAGAGGAACACTAATAGAAGCGAATATCTAACTGGCATGCTTTGCTAAAGGTTAGGGTCAGGACAACGACAGGCATGAAGAAATAACTGTGCACACGGCCAAATTCTGTCCCCGGGAATGCTTAAGAATAACATAATAACTGAACAATAAATGAACCAGTTCCCAAAATATCATATTGGTAATAGTTTTTCAAGAATATATCTCTTTCATTCATTGAATGAGACAAACTTTTGATGACCGTGATATTTGAGCTACACTGGGAATCCGTTTTTAAGTGACACAATGTCCTGGATGGCCTCATAATTCCCAAACACCACAATTCTATTTAACTGGAAACTAGTTAGTGGGTAAACTACCTATTAGCTTCTTAGCAGATGTCCTCATTGCCACTCAATTATCTTGCTTAGGATTTTAACTTCATTCTTTAGCTTGATTCCATTTGTTTCTCTTTAAGACCTGTGAGACAGAGCAGGCCTTAAGTTGACAAGGAGTTTCTCTGTTTGTTTGACAAAGGTATAAAATATCCCTTGGGGATTTAAACAGTTTTGTACCACAGGAGCTGCAGAATGGATTACTTGACTCTTAACTGATGGACTATCTTCTTCCTGCATATAAACTGTCCACACTGTAGCATCTAGATAGCAGCCCACACCCCCTTCTTACCTCAGTCAGCTCCCAGGTAATACTGATTGTCCAGCAGAGACCATAACTACGGATCAGCAAGGCCTTCATAGCCCAGCCCCAGAAATGTCCAAAGGCAAATATATCAAAATGGCTGATAATCCTCTCCCAGGTGATAACATGGCAGTTCACAGCATACTCCTGTTTAAAATAATAAGGAAATAATTAGTAATACTCTAGAAATCAACTTGCTTCCAGGATTTGGAAAATAAAAAGAACTGGTATGATCTTGATAATTAATATATGTCCTACCCAATAAAAAGTTTTGGTAACTGAAGTTGCTTGAGGAAAAATGGACAAGTATTAGAGTTTATACACCAGAATTGCTTTGCTCTGAATTGCAAAAGCTTGGTTAAAGTGGGAAGCAAAACCATTTTACAAAGGCTTAACCCATCTTAAAGAAGTGGTATCGGGACTTCCCTGGTGGCTTAGTGGTTAAGAATCCACCTGCCAATGCAGGGGACACGGGTTCAAGCCCTGGTCCGGGAAGATGCTACATGCCGCGGAGCAACTAAGCCTATGCACCACAACTACTGAGCCTGCATGCCACAACTACTGAGCCCGTGTGCCTAGAGCCCGCGCTCCGCAACAAGAGAAGCCACTGCAACAAAGAGTAGCCCCCACTTGCCGCAACTAGAGAAAGCCCGTATGCAGCAACGAAGACCCAACGCAGCCAAAAATTAAAAAAAAAAAAAAGATAAATAAATAAATAAATTTATTTAAAAAAAAAAGTAGTGGTATCATATAGCCCATGTCACTTGCTCATAGGGCAACTGTGTTAAAGCCATGAACAAAAACATAAATAGAATCCCAACAAATAAAGAATAACTAGAAACCCAATAGGTTCAGAAATTTTAAAACGCATCTCTAAATACCATGGAGTAAAAAAGAAATCATAACAGGAATTTAAAATATATTCAGTATTAAATGACAATGAAAACATTACACATCGAAATGATGAGATGCAGTTAAGCAGAAGTTAGAGGAAAATACAAAGCCTTAAACGTTTTTATTAGGAAAGAAGGAAAGCTGAAACATCCAACTTCAGAAATTAGAAGAAAACAGAATTACTCTTCCACCCAAAACTGTAGCAAATATTACATAATTTAAATATTAAAACATTATAAAGCTTTGAAGAATTTAGGTTCCACTTCTAACCTTTTCATTTTTAATATATTTTAAAGTAATTTTAAATCAACTTCCTTATACTCCTGTGTTTATTATGAAGTAGTTATCACATGACAACATTTCTCAGGAAGCTCTACGTTTCACATTCTTTTTTCCCCAAATTAATCTGATAGGAAGGAGTTAAGATTTCAGCCAGCTGACGGAATACCTATAAAGTATAATATTTTCAAATTTTAGAAGCAATACTTTCTGAGGGAGCCAAAAGAGCACCATGGTGCTCCTCTGTCTCTTCTGAAACCTACCGCATCAGACTTCTGAAGCCTTTCTCAGACCTAATCCATTTTAATTTGCAAAGCTCAAAGGACATTTTTAAAAATTGTATTTTTTTGAGAAACATTCTGATGTGGTATTATGATGTGTAAGTGGGAAATCTAGAGAAAAGAGGAAAAAAATCAATAGGGGTGAGTCAAGATAAGGCTTAAAAAGACCAAACTGCACTGCAATGAGATGAAAGTTCTCCTTCCAGGCTCTGGAGCACATGCCTGTTCCACGAATCACAGACGGACAGAGAGACCCTTGGGCTAAAGCAGTAACACGTTAGGTTAAGGACAGCTTAAAGGTTAAGGAGAGCTTAAGGCTCAGTCAACCCCAAATTCCTCACCCACCCTATCCTCTTATTTACTCCAGAGTGGGCTGCTTAGGGTTAGATAAGAAAGGGCTAAGTTCTGTTTTCAGAAATCTGTTCTTAAGGGGATCATAGGTTGAAGACCACTTTGGAGGCCTTTCTACTGCCCTCTAAGAGAATATTTATGTGTTCAACAAATGTAAAGGCACTTTGAAACCCATAAAGAGCCAGGTGTGTCTACTGGCATATAATTATTATGAACAAATCTGCCAATAATCACATCTGGAAGATCCCGAGATCCTGGTGCTGGGAGGGATGCAGGACACCGTGGTCTAATGCAGACGGGGAGCAGCACACGCAGGCACGAACCCCTGGAAGCGGGAGGACAAGGCATGAAATGAGGACACAGAGGTGGGGAAGCCAAGTCTGGGGAGGTGGAAGTAAGCAGTAAGTAAGGACAGATTCTGCCCACCTCCCAACTGGTAGATCACTCACCTGGGTGGCTCCACCCTCTCCCTTGCTTGCCTGACACTTAACCAAACACCAAGTCCTATTCATTTTACCTCCCCAAGTGTTTTTTCCTCCGTCTATCCCACCACCACTGTTATTTCTTGCTTAGATGCCTGCAGTAGCTTTCTAAAACTATGAAACGTACACATGATGCTCTGATAAGCACCTGACTGCCCAGCTCCAGCTGAAGACTGCAGATTTTAACTCATCTCTCTGTAATCGACTCTCTACATACAAAATGACTTTGCAGATCACAAATCAGACCATTTTGGGTGTGTGTGTGTTTGGGTGGGGGGGTGTGTGTCTGGGAAGACAGCCTTCCCAGTGTGGAAGGATCTCTGGGCCTCCTGCCCTGCTCTCTCGCTCCTTCCTCCCTGGGGAAGGTGGTAACCTTGAGAACACATGTATTCCACCCTCTTTAGGGTCCTCTCTTTGGAAATTATTTGCCCACAGACAGCACAGGTTCCCATCTGCTCTTTCAACCTTGGAGGAAGTTTTGTGAGTCAGGCTCTGTCTTGTGGGAAGAAGCCCGTGGTTGTCCAATGGGACAGGGGAGCAGAGGCCTAATTCGGGGCAGGGGATTAGCACTAGTGGCCCAGGTCTAAAGCCATCTGCTTCACTGAGCTTCAACCAGGAAGAAATCAGCTGATCCTGTGCATCTTTCTTCCCCAGTTTCAACACTGGACTGGAGATGGGCGTAATGTTTACTGACCCACTAAAGCACCAATGGAGATCGTGTACCTCCTCTGCTTATAAACCTTCAGGGTCTTTTATTACATTCACAGTGTAATCCTAACTCCTCACCAATGTCTCCCCAGCCTCAGGAACTGCCCTCCTCTGCCTCTAATTCCTCCTCTCCTTCACTCTTGACTGATCCCAGCTCCCAAGCTGGGGCTTCCATGCAGGCTGTTTCTTCTTCCTGAATAATGGCCTCGGCCCCCTACTCCCACTTTGCTTGGCTAATTCCCACTCATGTTTTAGTTGTCAACCTAGATATCAGCTCTTACAGAGGCATTCCCTGACCTCCCAGACTAGATTGGGGTTCTTTTATAAGTTCTAATAGCACCCATATCTTTTTCTTTATCGCACTGCACTGTATACTGAAATCATTATGCTTTCATTCTTATTTTTTTTAGCTGTTTTAATTTTTTTATTGGAGAATAGTTGCTTTACGATGTTAGTTTCTGCTGTACAGTGAAGTAAATCAGCCATATGTATACATATATCCCCTCTTTCTTTTTTTTTTTTTTTGCGGTATGTGGGCCTCTCACTGTTGTGGCCTCTCCCGTTGCGGAGCACAGGCTCCGGACGCGCAGGCCCAGCGGCCATGGCTCACGGGCCCAGCCGCTCCGTGGCATGTGGGATCTTCCCGGACCGGGGCACGAACCCGTGTCCCCTGCATCAGCAGGCGGACTCTCAACCACTGTGCCACCAGGGAAGCCCTCCCCTCCTTCTTGACCTCACTCTCCCAACCCGATCCCACCAATGCAGGTGGTCACAGAGCACCGAGCTGAGTTCCCTGTGCTACACAGCAGGTTCCCACTAGCTATCAATTTTCCAAATGGTAGTGTGTATGTGTCAATCCTAATCTCCCAATTCGTCCCACCACCTACTGCCTCAGGCCCCCTGTGTCCACACATCTATTTTCTACATCTGCATCTCTATTCCTGCCCTGCAAATAGGGTCATCTGTACCATTTTTCTAGATTCCACATATATGCGTTAATATATGATATTTATTTTTTTCCTTCTGACTTTCTTCACTCTGTATGACAGACTCTAAAAATCACATCTCTAAAAATGACCCAATTTCATTCCTTTCTATGGCTGAGTAATATTCCATATATAGGTACCACATCTTCTTTATCCATTCCCCTGCCATTGGACATTTAGGTTGCTTCCATGTCCTGGCTATTGTAGATAGTGCTGCAATGAACACTGGGGTGCATGTGCCCTTTTGAATTATGGTTTTCTCAGGGTATATGCCCAGTAGTGGGATTGCTGGGTCACATGGTAGTTCTATTTTTAGTTTTTTAAGGAGCCTCCATACTGTTCTCCACAGTGGCTGTATCACTTGCATCCTTGCGATAAACCCCACTTGATCATGGTGTATGATCCTTTTAATGTGTTGTTGGATTCTGTTTGCTAGTATTTTGTTGAGGATTTTTGCATCGATGTTCATCAGTGATATTGGCCTGTCGTTTTCTTTTTTTGTGATATCTTTGTCTGGTTTTGGTATCAGGGTGATGGTGGTCTCGTAGAATGAGTTTGGGAGTGTTTCTCTCTCTGCAACTTTTTGGAAGAGTTTGAGAAGGTGTTAGCTCTTCTCTAAATGTTTGATAGAATTTGCCTGTGAAGCCATCTGGCCCTGGATGTTTGTTTGTTGGAAGATTTTTAAACATAGTTTCAATTTCATTACTTGGGATTCGTCTGTTTATATTTTCTATTTCTTCCTGGTTCAATTTTGGAAGGTTGTACCTTTCTAAGAATTTGTCCATTTCTTCCAGGTTGTCCATTTGATTGGCATATAGTTGCTTGTAGTAGTCTCTTATGATCTTTTGTATTTCTGTGGTGTCAGTTGTAATTTCTTCTTTTTCATTTCTAATTTTACTGATTGGAGTCCTGTCCCTTCTTTTATTGATGAGTCTGGCTAAAGTTTTATCAATTTTGTTTATCTTCTCAAAGAACCAACTTTTAGTTCTATTGATCTTTGCTATTGTTTTCTATTTCATTTATTTCTGCTCTGATATTTATGATTTCTTTCCTTCTACTAACTTTGGTTTTTTTTTTTTTATCTTTTTCTCTAGTTGCTTCAGGTGTAAAGTTAGATTGTTTGAGGTTTTTCTTGTTTCTTGAGGTGAGACTAAATTGCTATAAAC